AGCTCCTCATGGGGCCACGAAACGTGTGAGGGGTGTGCCGAAGTTGGTGTGGGGGCGGCATGCGAACGCAGCCACTGGGGCCTTCGGTGGAGCTCCCTGTGGGGCCACGAAACGTGTGAGGGGTGTGCCGAAATTGGCGTGGGGGCGGCATGCGAACGCAGCCACTGGGGCCTTCGGTGGAGCTCCCTATGGGGCCACGAAACGTGTGAGGGGTGTGCCGACATGGGTGTGGGGGCGCATGCGAACCCAGCACTGGGGCCTTCAGTGGAAATCCCCATGTAGCCACGAAACGTGTGAGGTATGTGCCGAAATCGGTGTTGGGGAGGCATACGAACCAGGCCACTGGGGCCTTCGGTGGAGCTCCCTATGGGGCCACGAAACGTGTGAGGGGTGTGCCGACATGGGTGGTGGGGAGGCATGCGGACCCTGCCACTGGGGCCTTCGGTGGAGCTCCCTATGGGGCCACGAAACGTGTGAGGGGTGTGCCGAAATGAGTGGTGGGGAGGCATGCGAACCCTGCCACTGGGGCCTTCGGTGGAGCTCCCTATGGGGCCACGAAACGTGTGCCGAAATGGGTGGTGGGGAGGCATGCGGACCCTGCCACTGGGGCATTCGGTGGAGCTCCCGATGGGGCCACGAAACGTGTGAGGGGTGTGCCGAAATGGGTGGTGGGGAGGCATGCGACCCCTGCCACTGGGGCCTTCGGTGGAGCTCCCTATGGGGCCACGAAGCGTGTGAGGGGTGTGCCGACATGAGTGGTGGGGATGATGATGATGATGATGATGATGGGAGGAGGGAGGGGGGGGAGGAGGAGGAGGTGAGGAACGCGGGGCGCCGTCTCTTCAAAACGAGGACCCAACACCACAGGATGGTTGGGAAAAACAGGGTGTGAGCCCCGGAAGGAGCATTTTAGTTGAAGAATTACAATGGTTATCGGAGGGGGGTCAACAGTATGTCTCATTTAGACATGGGAGTTCAACAACAACAACAACAACAACAACAACAACAACAACAACAGCAGCAGCAGCAGCAGCAGCGACAACAACAACAACAACAACCACAGCAACGGCAGCACAACAACAACATAACGACAGCAGCAGCATCAACAACTGCAACAACGACAACAAAAACAAAAACAGCAACACCAACGACAACGACAACAACAACAACAATACCCTCATCATGTTTCATATTCTCCATCGTCCTTCTGCCTTGTCATTGACCTACCCCTTTAATCTTCATTCTAGGTAACCCTTCCTCGTTGCGCCACCACACGTGTTCGCAAGGCAGGCCTGTAGACTTCTTCGTACTTGACAGCTTGCAACTCAGGACGATTGAATGCACCGATGGAGGGCGCATGGTTTTCGGCATGTGGCTTTTGCCATACCGACACCCTCATAAGGACGCATTAATAGGGGACTGTAGCCAGGCGTATGGCAGAATAGATAATGCATCGTGAGTTTGCCCTGGTCCTGTTCCTCCTCGTCCTCCTCCATATCCCTCTTCCTCCTCCTTTCTCATCCTCCATCCCTCTCATCCTCATTGTCTTGTTCCTCCTCGTGCTCCTCCTCCTCCTCCGCCTTCTCCACCTCCTCGTCGTCCTCCAGCTCCTCCCGCTTGTCCTCTTCTCGTCCTCACTACTCCAATTACTACCACCACGACTGCGGTCACGACTATGACAACAACTGTTGCTGTTGATACTGACACTCTTACCCATACCCTGATCATGATCTGAATAACCTAAAAAGCAGGAGGGATCGACCCAACAGGATGTACCCGCTTGAGATAGGCGCGCCCCTGCATCTCCTCCTCCTTCTCATCATCATCATCATCATCATCAGCAGCAGCAGCATCATCATCATCATCATCAACATCATCCACCTCCTCCTCCTCCTCCTCCTCCTCCTCCTCCTCATCGTTATTACCATCATCACCGTCATCACCATCGCTTCCTCATCATCATTATCCTCCCCCTCCTCATCATCATTTCGCTATCCTCCTTGACCCCGCGCGCCTGGTGGTCCCTGTCCAACGATTTCGCCTGCTCCACGATGCTGTGCGCAACTCCGTGCGGCAGCTTCTTCAAGGCGTCCGCCCGGGGTGCGATCAGCTGGCAGCTGGACACCCACTGGGGGCGCCGCCGCTCTCTCTCTCCTCGCCTTCTCGCCGTTCCATACTATCCCCCCCACACTCACCATATCCTCATTGGTATTATCATCCTCCGCCTCCTTCTATTATTCGGTCTCATCTTCTCCGCCTCGTCTTTTTCCTCCTATGGAATATGTTCAATATGTTCCTCCTCCTCCTTCCTCCTCCTCCTCCTCTTCCTCCTCCTCCTCCTCCTCCTCCTCCACATCATCATCAACATCATCATCATCATCCTTCAGCTCCTTTTCCGTTTCCTCCTCTTCTTCTTCCTCCTCACCATCCTCCACCACGTCCTCCTCCTCCCAATTTTCCTCCGATTCATCCTCCTCCTCCTCATCATCATCAGCGGCATCATCACCACAATCCCACTATCACCATCATCGTCAGCATCATCCTCATCATCAAATCACCACTATTATCAGCAGCACCTGCATCAGCCTCAGCACCATCACCATCACCATCACCATCCCCATTGTCACCAGCATCTAATCATCACCATAATCAGAATCAGAATCGTCATCGTCATCGTCATGATTATCATCCACATTTTCAGCAGCATCATAAACATCATCGTCGTCATCACAGGCAGCAACCGCATCGGCATCACTAGCATCATCACCATCATCATCAGCATCAGCATCATCGTCACCATCACCACCACCATCGCCATCACCCTTACCATCAACAGCAGCGTCAACATTAGCAACAGCAGCCACATCATCACCATCATCACCATCATCATCATAACAATCCCCCCATCATCATCACCATCATCATCATCATCACCATCATCATCATCATCATCATCATCATCACCATCACCACCATCACCATCACCATCATCATCAACATCATCATCATCATCATCATCATCATCATCATCATCATCATCATGAGCATCGTCATCAGCAACATCGCCAGCAGCAGCAGCATCACCATGATCATCATCATCCGTAGCATCATCATCACCAGCGCCATCATCAGCATCATCGTCAGCATCGGCACCATTAGCAGCCTCACCAGGATCATGATCATGGTAAAGATACAGCAGCACCAGCATTGGTATGATTATCCGAATGAGCAGCCTCCTCCTCCTCCTCATCCTCACCCTGCTCATCATCGCACCCATCATTCTCAGCGATACCGTTATCACCATTATCAGCATCAACAAAATCATGATCGCCCTCATCCTCCTCATTCTCCTCAGCGTCAACATCATCGTCAGCATTACCGCTCCCACCATACAACAACAGAATCATCATGATATGCTGTTATGTTCGGCTGAGAAATCAGTTTTGGCAACGATGGTTCGCTGCGATCAACGAGCTGGTCCCCCAGAGCGCTGGGACTGGGGCGAGAGGCCCCCTTCCGAGGAAGAACCAAGACACAGCAAGTTCAAACCTTGTCTTATCGCGCCTCCGCCCCCCATGGACGGGCGGGCCGGGCGAACCAAAATGGGCTGCGGTCGCAAGACAAGGCCTGAAGACATGCAAGACAAAGACACCCCACTCCCCGATAATCTTGTCCGCGCACGCACCCCCGTGATATGCCGTTTCTCTCGGCTGGGAAGTGGATTCTGGCAACGATGGCTCGCCGCGCTGAAAGAGCTCATCCCCAAGAGCTTTGGGGCGAGGGCGAGGGGCCCCCTCCGAGGAAAAACCAAAACTCAGCATGTGAAAACCATGTTTTTTTCCGCGGGGCCCCATGCAACCCACGCAGGGATTGCATTGTAGATGGAGGCCCTCTCGAGAGACAGCTGCGAGCGAGCGAGCGCAAAGCTCAGAAGGTCAGGTCATTTTGCAGCGGGCATTGCGCGGTTAATTCCACCACTGTCTCTCCCGAGCAAGTGTAGACGCGGGGGGCCTGTCTTGCCGCGTGCGCCTATCCGACTGAAACACGTACGTTCGAGCCCAGCAACCTCCTCAGTTTCGAAGCCAACAAACACGTAGATACATCGGTGCCTCAACGGCGCTCCACATATGCATCTGTCGCTCGCTGCTGCCGTCGCGAACTTTGCTGGGATCTCATGGACTTCAATTGAGAAGCACGACCACAAGCGGTTACCTTGCGGCATCTCGAGAAGAAAAGGGGCACGAGCACGCCAGGCCGCGGAGAAGCCTGCCCAGTCTCTCTGGCCCCCGCCACCGCGCCGCGCGCGCCCCAGCCGCTCATCACTGGGCGCGTCGCCGCGCCACGTCCAGGCGGGCACGCCCTGCGCGGCCAGGCGCGAGCAGACGCCGTCAAGGCGGTCGCCGATCAGGAGCGCCTTGCTCCGCGCGGCGGGGGCTGGACGCCTCCCGGCAGCGGCTCCGCACGGCACCGCGCCAAGGCGGGCTCCAGCTCGCGCAGGCAGTGGCCCCCGTAGGCGAGCAACACTGCGCTGCGCGTCTGAGCTCGCTGGCCCAGGCGCGCGATCTTCTCGTAGCGCGCCGCGCTCTTCGGCTGGCGCCATCCGCCCATGCGCTGCACTTCTGCCTGGCTGCGCTCGCCGCTGGCGCGGTCGATGCTGGCGCCAGAGTGCCGCGCCTGGCATGGCGTGATCCGACTCAGCTGCAGAGAGCCGGAGACGTCCCTCATCTGGAACAGCAGCGTGGGGTAGTCGACAGACCGCACCGGTTTGCGAGGGCTCAGCCTCTGCATCTCCCTCAAGACTGGGCATCCATGAGACGAGTCCAGCCTCACGCTCAGGTCGAACGCCCCGACCTTGTCGGAAGTGGCCCGTTCTTGGGGGCGCATCAGGATACCCCGGCGCCGACTGCCCGCGCGCGGCCTCACGATGTCGGCGGGGCGCAGCCTGGAGAGCGACAACGGCCTGAGGTAGGTCGAGACGGCGATCGCCATGAACACCGCCA